CTATAACAGATGTGTTGAAAAACTCTAGCCAATCGGCATTTACTCAGCAGAGTTTGTTTTGTTTAACAATAGAACCCACCAACAGTGGACTTTATTGTACTACCATAACCAACACTGATTGGACCACGTAGAATTGCATAAAAAACATTCGATCACGTGAATTTGGTGCTCATTTGTGAAAACAGTGTAGCACGTTGTTGGGTGATTTGGAAAACTGGTTGTCCCAAATTGATGTTGACGACGCCGAGGACTTTAAACTGAGCGATATTCAGAAAGAATTCCGTTTTTTGCCTCCAGTTGACAGCAAACAAGTCACCGAATATCAGCAGTCACGCAGACAACCAGACAACTCACAGCGCTACAAAATGGGGCGTCAAAACATGGAATGAGTGGAAAGAGCAACGCAATGTTAAAGTTGAGTATGATAAATCTGATGAAGAAGTGTATCATTTGGTTCCGTCTCTGGATGAAAATTTAGTCCCGAAGGAATTTGATTTCTGGCTATGTAAATTTGCCATTGAAAATCGGAGACAAGATGGCCAACAGTATCCGCCAGACTCATTAAGACGAATGTTATGTGCCATTTACCGCGCTATCTGCGCGATGATTGTAACCGCCCTGACCTAAATTTCATGGACCAGGGCAACCACGACTTCCTAGGTTTCAGAAATGCGTTGGATGGTATCCGAAAAAAAACAAGCCGAGCCATTTTCGCTAAATGATGAAGAAAAGCTATGGGCACACGCGTTTGGTACAAATACCGCGTTAGGCACGAGTTATGCAACCTACTTTTACATGTGTAAAATATTTGGACTGCGTGCCGCTGATGAACATTCATCACTAACGGTAGACCAACTCGCCATGCACAGCGACGATATGGGGGAGTACATGGTATTCCAGGGAAAACCATCTAAAACTGACCAGGGAGGATTCTACCGCAAACCAAGGCAAACATTTTAAAAACTACGCGCAACCAGAAAACTCGCGCTGTATTGTAAACTTGTTTCGGACATATCTGTCATATATCCCAAACAGCGGGCCATTCTATAGAAGACCACTGAAGTCAAAGAATGGCGAATAAAGTTCTCTGCACAAAAGCTTGGTGTTCATACATTGCAGGGATACAGTAAGCAAATGACTGATCTTCGCTGGGATAAAAGGTTATCATACTGGGCATTCAGGAAAGGTACATATTAGAATTTGCACTTTAGTAATGCAATGTTCGATTTCCCTCGCTGACGAGAAAGTCGTAACTTTATGTCGAAAATAATCACTACTCGTTAAATACATGTTTTCATGCAAACTGTTTGGTGGAATACAATTTAAATATTATCTTCACTGGCACGATATGTCGGATTCATTTCGCGCAATAAAGATTTAATGCAAACTGCTTTGACGTGTTTTAAAAAAGCTGAACGATTGAACGTACTATAACAATATATTGATATTTTAAATTGCTATGAGGTGGATTGTTACAAGCTATTGTACTTTCATATTAATACATTGTATTTTTTTTTAATTAAACAGGTTACACAGGCAACTACGCTGTTCCGGCAAAATTTCGACGAGCAGCTAATAGCAGAAAGAACGGGTCACTCCAGTCTAGCAATTAGAAGCTACGAGCTGACGAAAGCGGTGTCAGACGCATTGCAGCCACCCAAACCGAAAGAAGCGAAAACGTGCGACATATCCACCACCCCAACAGACGAGGACAAATCTAATACCACTGTCATAATCGATTCTTCCCAAGTGTCCATGAATTTTGTAAAAGGAAATATGAAACTTGAAATACGTTTTTAAAATGTATCGTACAATTGTCAGTGCGTATTTAAATAATTAAATGAAAATTCCACCTTGTTCTTTGTTTTCATTCAGTGGCCACCTGTTATATTAATCAGCTTTCCACTCCTGTTGTGTTCATGAATATTTAAATTAGCACATTCATTATTAACAGTCCCGGCTTGTTAATCCATTGATAAAACAGTACCGTTAACAGAAATGCATAATTAATTAGGTTGAAACTGTCCGCTAACGAAAGTAAGAAACATAGTTAGAACAATGGGGACGAGACAAATAGTACAACATATTTTAAAAATCGTTTTTTGAAAATGTAGCGCTACAAATTTTAAGTCTTTAGTCTGAGAAACAAAATCAAGTGCCTACGGACTTGCATCTATACCTTAATATATAAGAATTATATGGCATGGTTGTAAACTAAGTTCGTTTTATTGTTTACAAAAAAAACACTCTAGCAAAACATCAAACTGTATGTTTTCAGAATGCATGAAACATCCACAGATGGATGTTCACTGGTGACATCAAACTTTTACCAACCGATATCTGTTAGTACAAACCACATAGTATTGTCGGTAATCACAGGTACTATATAACAATTATTCAACAATTATACTGACGCTAATATTGAAAATATATATAAAATATATTTTTAATATAAGTTTTATAAATAATGAAAAAAAAGTTACATAAAAACGTCACGAAGCACAATTTGCGTCTCGTGTATGAAAACACAAATCAAAAAGAGTAAACATTTTAAGGAAAAGCACTGTGGATGAAGCGCACTCCTCAACCAATACCCGATCTCGCTAAGTCAATGCAACGTATATACATATGTTCTTTTTGGCACATGAGAGTGAGGGAAGTAGACAAATATTTGGAGCAGTATAGCCTAAGCAAAACGGATTAAATAAAGTCAATCACGGCGGGAAACAGATGGGAATGATCACAGGATAATAACCTCTAGAAAGTCAACAGACAATAATATTGGTTCTTAGATGACAGTGATGATGATATTCAAAGTTGTAATTTAGGAACTTGGTGAAATTAGAGAGACACTTAGCAAATGGGCTGTGTCAAGGTTTAATGCATTCAACAAATACAACTAGGTCATAGTTCGAATATATTACGAAAT